GGGGGGGGGGTCTGGGGGTGCTTTGTTGGGGGTCTGGGGGTGCTCTGGTCATTTTGGGGGGTCTGGAGGGTCTCTGGGTGCTCTGCACCCCCCCAAATCCCCACAGACAGTCCTCAAAGCCCCCCCAAAATCTCCTAAACACCCCCAGAATTCCCCCAAAACTCCCATTTCTCCCATCCCTGTTTTCTCCCAGGGTTCTGGGGGGGCTCTGGGTGCTCCTGGGGGTCTCCGGGGGTCCCTGGGTGCCCTTGGGGCTCCCTGGGTGCTCCTGGGGGGGTTCCTGGTTACCCCCAGGGGTCCCTGGGTGTCCTTGGGATGCCCTTGGGGGTCCCTGGGTGCCCCCGTGGGGGTCCCTGGGTGCCCCTGTGGGGATCCCTGGGTGCCCGAGGTTACCAGGGGGGATCCCTGGGTATCCCTGGGTGGCCTTGGGGGGTCCCTGGGTGCTCCTGAGGGGGTCCCAGGTTACCCGTGGAGGTCCTAGGGTCTCCCTGGGGTACCCCGGGGTACCTCTGGGTGCTCCCGGGGGGGTTCCTGGTTTCCCCTGGGGATCCCTGGGTATCCCTAGGGTGCCCAGGGGGGTCCCTGGGGGTCCCTGGGATGCCTTTGAGGGTCCCTGGGTGCTCCGGGGGGGGTCCCAGGTTACCCGGGGTGATCCCTGGGTGTCCCTGGGGTGCCCTTGGGGGGTCCCTGGGTGTCCCTGGAGTGCCCTTGAGGATCCCTGGGTGCCCTTGGGGGGTCCCCTGGGTATCCCTGGGGTGCCCTTGGGGATCCCTGGGTGCCCTTGGGGGGTCCCTGGGTGCCCTTGGGGGGTCCCTGGGTGTCCCTGGGGGGACCCTGGGTGTCCCTGGGGTGTTCCTGGGTATCCCTAGGGTGCCCTTGGGGATCCCTGGGTGTCCCTGGGTGCCCGTGGGGGTCCCTGGGCATCCCTGGGGGGTCCCTGGGTGTCCCTGGGTGCCCTTGGGGGGTCCCTGGGTGTCCCTGGAGTGCCCTTGGGGATCCCTGGGTGTCCCTGGGTGTCCCTGGGGTGCCCTTGGGGATCCCTGGGTGCCCTTGGGGGGTCCCTGGGTGTCCCTGGAGTGCCCTTGGGGATCCCTGGGTGCCCTTGGGGGGTCTCTGGGCATCCCTGGGTGTCCCTGGGTATCCCTAGGGTGCCCGTGGGGGTCCGTGGGCATCCCGGGGCGCCCCCAGCCCGTGCCCGCCGTGCCCCCCAGATTGCCAAGGACATGGAGCCCCCCCCCCGCAGCCTCAACAAGCAGCGCGAGAGCGGGCGCAGCGCCGGGCCCCCCCCGGCCCCCCGCGAGGACGAGCGCCGCGAGGCGGCGGCGGCCGA